GATAGATGCATTTAGAATCTAAATGCATCTGTCCATGATGAAAGTCCATCATAAAAATGCATCTATCCATCATGCATATGGATATATTATCATGGATAGATGCACTTTTATGATGGACAGATGCACTTTTATGATGGATAGATGCACTTTTATGATGAATGGATGCACTTTTATGATGAATAAATGCACTTTTATGATGGATAGATGCACTTTTATGATGGATAGATGTGCTTTATGATGGATAGATGCACTTTTATCATGAATGGATGCACTTTTATGATGAATAAATGCACTTTTATGATGGACAGATGCACTTTTATGATGGATAGATGTGATTTATGATTGATAGATGCACTTTTATGATGGACAGATGTACTTTTATGATGGACAGATGTACTTTTATGATGGACAGATGTACTTTTATGATTGATAGATGCATTTAGAATCTAAATGCATCTGTCCATGATGAAAGTCCATCATAAAAATGCATCCATCCATCATGCATATGGATATATTATCATGGATAGATGCACTTATGATAAACAGATACACTTTAATGATGGATAGATGCACTTTTATGGTGGATACAGTAGATGCACTTTTATCATGGACAGATGCACTTTTATGATGATAGATGCGCTTTATGATGGATAGATGCGCTTTTGATGAATAGATGCACTTTTATGATGGATAGATGGACTTTTATGATGAATAGATGCATTTAGAATCTATGATGAAAGTCCATCTGTCCATCAAAAAAATGCATCTATACATCATGCATATGGATATATTATCATGGATAGATTTTTATCTATCCGCTTATCATCTATCCACATCTGTGATGGATAGAGGCACTTTTATGATGGATAGATGCACTTATCATGGATAGATGCACTTTTATCATGGACAGATGCACTTTTATGGACTTCAAAACAGAATCAATCATTCATCTCTGAGCCAGGACTTAATATAACTTAATATAACTCTGACTGTATTTGTCTGAAAGAAGAAAGTCATATTCCACCTAGGATGGCTTCAGGGTGAGTAAATCATGGGCTTATTTTTCATTTTTGGGTGAACTATCCCTTAAAACTGAATTCAGAACTCAAATTATGCTGTTTACTTATTTTTTTTTCCACGTCAAGTGCATTATGTTATAAGCCTTCAAATGTTTCATTGAGTTATGTTTGTTTGTGCGTTCAGCTACTCCGTGGTGGTGGAGAGATCAGACGTGTGTTTCAGAGGCGCTTTGCTGAGGTCCTTCAGCTGGAGGACTCTCGCCGCTCTCAGCAGAATCACCGGGAACGTCTCGAAGGTACGACACTACTTATATCACATCTCTGATGACGAGGACGGCGACACCTGTCCCTCACATGAGATCAGCCAATAGCAAACCACAACCAATCAATTCCACACTGACAAAATCAAGCCCCACCCATATGTGTTCTTGTTCCTGAAGCGTTAGATACCTCTGTGGACTGAATAAGTGAAGTAGCCCGCGGACCAATGCTGTCGCAGCATTTCAAATGTTGGTTTGGTGTTTGTGAAACACCAGAGTCGAAGTGTGTGATCAAAATGATTGGGTGTAATTCCCTCCAGAAGCGCCTCACACGCACACGAGTGTGTTCCCGAACACGTTTACTGTTTCTCATCTGACGCTCGACACACACTCGTTTATGATGGAGAAAAAAAGACACTGCAGAAACCATTAACTTAACTAAATTTGCAATGTTAGATGGAAACACAGCTATTGTTAAGAGACGCTGCACAGACGCATGTAATTCACGCTCATCTCTGTTTCTCTAGATAATTTGTTAAAATAAATTATATTATTCATTCATGCAAATAAATGCAATCTTGCACACTTTATCTCTTTAATCTGATTAAATGCTAGTCGAATGATGAAAATAAGTCATTTTTACCCTTCCAGTCACATCATTAACAGTTTTAACTTGTCAATGCTGGCTAATAACCATGACATAAGTGTAGACTGGACTTGACTTTACCTCCACGTCGAGCATTAACATCATCAGGGTAATACTTTTTCTTTTAAAGGAGTAGTTCACTTTTGAAAAAACTTTTGCTGATAATTTACTCACCCCCATGTCATCCAGGATGTCCATGTCTTTCTTTCTTCAGTCGAAAAGAAATTAAGGTTTTTGATGAAAACATTCCAGGATTTCTCTCCATATAAATGGACTTCAGTGGGAACCAAACGGTTCAAGGTCCAAAAGAAACTTTAAGTACAAACTGCAAACTTGTTCAAAGGGCTTTAAACGATTCCAGACGATGAATAAGGGTCTTATCAAGGGATACGATCGCTCGTTTTATAAATAAATAACGAGGTTTAAGTTTTATAAGCTCAAACGCTTGCCTTGCTCTGTTCTGTAACGCACTCCTGTTCAAACTAGTTCATCAAAATGAACTAATCTTTTTCCGAGTCATTTGGTTCATTCGGGGGAAAGAAACGAACGAATTGATTCGGAAAAAGATTTTTTCATTTTGTTGAACGAGTTCGAACAGGAGTGCGTTACAGAACAGAGCAAGGCGAGTGTTTGATCTTATAAAACTTAAACTTTATTTTTTTTTTAAAAAACGAGCGATCGTTTCGCTTGATAAGACCCTTATTCATCGTCTGGAATTGTTTAAAGCCCTTTGAACAAGTTTGCCGTTTGTACTGAAAGTTCCTTTTGGACCTTGAACCGTTTGGTTCCCGCTGAAGTCCATTATATGGAGAAAAATCCTGGAATGTTTTCATTAAAAACCTTAATTTCTTTTCGACTGAAGAAAGAAAGACATGGACATCTTGGATGACGTGGGGGTGAGTAAATTATCAGCAAACGTTTTTTGAAAAGTGAACTAATCCTTTAAAGTGTTTGCCAAAATGACAAAATCCAGTAAACCGATCAGATGTAGCTGATCCGCCGTTCGACACCCACTCTCACTGACACTTTACTGTAAACGAACTAAAAAAAGTTAAAGGCCCCATTGATACAAGTTCACTTTTGTACCAGAAACCATTTGTATTTGTAATGCAAACATTTTTTTATAAAGGATTCTTGGTGGTGGTTTTTTTTTTTTCTCGTGTGAATTCTATTGTAAAGCTTGGTGCATTGGAGTATGCATAAGTAGATATGTATATGTGGAATATGATTGTTTTAAATGTATTTTGTTTTTTTGGATGTGATGTGATGCCACTGCCCTAATATACTTACCTCTTGTGGGATTAAATAAAGTGGATATCTTAACTTACGGACAGTGCAAAAAGTGTGTATTTGTTGAAACAGTGGAATGACGCTGCGTGTGTTCTGTGCAGGAACTGATGCTTTGCTATGTCATCACTCCATCAGACATGACAGAAGACATGCTGTCATCTCCCGAGTGTGTGAAGCGCTTCACCATACAGGTGAGACAGAAACCGTGTGTGTGTTTCTCTGCACGTCTGGATCTGTAATATATTATATTATGGTGTGTTTCAGGAGGTGCTGGTGAGCAGATGGGTCTCCTCAAGAGAGCGAACAGAACAGGAGGATGTTTAAACCTGCATTCCTTTTTACATTCCTTGCATGTTTATTTTGCTTCAAAATATTAGGTTAATATTTATTTTATTTTTTTAATAATGTGCAAAGATTGTTTAAACAACATCCAGACACAAGTTAAAGAGTGTTCAGCAATAAATATACTGAGAAAAGTCCGGTGTCCATTGTGTTTTATCACTAAAGCAACTGTTCCATTATGGGGTTATAAAGTTTAAGGAATCATTAATGATGGCCCGTTGAACTGTTGAAAATAACAGCAGAGGCCATTATGTGTGTAATGGAAGCAAAGCGTCTCAACGGTGACCTGCAGAAGCGTCTCTATCGTGAATCTGTAAGTTTCTCTGCTTCAAGAACAACGCTAGAGACCAACATTACGTTATTTTAATGATGAAATCGTCAGAGCAGTGCTGACAACAGGTTTCTGTGTGTGTGGGGGGGGTTTAGCGGGAAGAAAGAGAGGAGTGCTATCCATAAAATTTCTGGCAAAAAAAAAAAAACAACAAAACATGGAATTAATGTCGTTTTTATCCTGATATGTGACCCTGGATCACAAATCCAGTCTCAGTGTGGCAATAGCCAACAACACACTGTACCGGTCACAATTATCGAGTTTTCTTTTATGCCAAATATCATTAAGATATTAAGTAAACATCATGTTCCATGAAGATATTTTGTACATTTCTTACCGTAAATATATAAATCATGTATTTCTGTGAGTGAATGCAGCACAATAACCAACATAAATGATAGGAGATTTTCTCAATGTTTAGATTTTTTTTTCAACCTCAGATTCTAGATTTACAAATAGTCGTATCTCGGCCAAATTTTGTCCTATCCTAACAAACCATACATCAATGAAAACCGTTTTTTTTCAGCTTTTAGATTGTGCTAAATCTGTCGTGTGATGCGGTCAAAACCTGCCTGGAACTACTTTTCCCTGTAAATAGCTGCACACCTTTGAGTGTTTGTCAACCAATCAGATTCAAGCATTCCCTCCCCTTCCTGTCAACCACCATGGGACCGATTTAGAAAAAATATTGTATTGATAGTCAATGGTGAGAGACAACTAATATTTTGATCTCGTTTGAATTGTGCGTTGAATTACACATATGATGACCCTTACTTTCTTTTTCTAATTTCATGTAGGTTACCATTATGGCGTTTCATGTTTGTATGAATGATACTGTGACTCTCATCACTACTGTGATGATTATCGGTTGTCAGTCTACTACAATAGTACAGAACAGATATCAATATTTCAATAGATTGGCAAATATACCAGAAAATGAAATACGATTTATTACTGTAAATTTTAAGTTAGGTCTGTAAAACCAATACATTTGCTATGCCGTATTTTTGACGGTAAAGTTCTGGCAACCACAGCTGCCGTTTTTTTACCATAAAAAATATGGTATTATTTTTTACAGAGTGTCAAAATTAAAATAATACATTTACATTTGATAATTTAGCAGAAGCTTTTATCCAAAGAGACTTACAAATGAGGAGAGCAATAGAACCAGTAAAACTAATGACATGACAACACTATGTGAGTGATGTGACCCTCACGTTGGTCTAATACAGTATATATTTTTTTAATTAACATTCTGCATTACAGATACGGATAACGACACACAGGTTGTAAACACATTCAGAATTATTTTTTTCCAGATGATGAATGATAAAAACATTGACAGTTGTCGTTCTCAGTCACATTCTTTCTATTGGTTTGAATCGAGTAACTTTCTGGAAGTGAAATATGTATAGAATATAGCTTTACAAAAGTGTAGTTTCAGCTCATATAACAGTATAGATCAATTTAAGCATCATTCAATCAAATTCCACCTTGATACAAGATACATGAATCATTAAATATGATGAACTATGGGCTCAGAGATTCTTGCTGTCCTCGTCCTCCTCGCTCAGGCTCTCCTGCGAGTTCCTCTTCGGGTTATCCACGATGTAGAAGTGGTTCTGGGAAATCTCACGACACAACGTCATGTACTTGGAGGCTCTCCTGATCCGGGGCAGAACGAAGGTGTGTGTGAAGCCGTCTTTGCTCAGGCCCGGTTTGGACTGCGCCGCCAGAACACAGTTGATGAACGTTAGCGTGAAGCTGTAGCAGTTGTGTGTTTCCTCGTTAAAGCTGGAACATAATCAAGAACATGCTGATGCACATAGACATGGACAAAAAAAAACAGGCTGATGAAGAAAAAACACTTTCTCGCAGAGACAAACTTAAATGGTTGGTTAGACAATCACTATCCAAACTTAAATGGTTCTGATTTATGATTTGGATTATAGATGTATGGTTGGTCTTGTTTTAAAGAAGACATTTGCTAGATTATTGTAGAACTGTAGAAGAAATACATTATTAAAGTTAAACAGAAAAAAAAAATTATACAAGTTTGAGTTAAAGGGATAGTTCACTTTGAAATTAATTTTTGATATGTTTTAGCTTACCTCAAGGGCATCCAAGATGTAGGTGTCTTTGTTTCCGCAGTATTTTCAATTTTGACATTTTTCAGTCAAACCGTTGTTGTCGATCAGTCATAATAGAGCGATCACTTCCGGCGTAACATTGAACTGATTCAGTTCGGTTCAGTTGGACATTGCAAAACTGATTCAGATCACTGTGATTACACGAGGTAAAAACGATATAAATACTGTTCGTTTTCTCACAAAAACCGCTCGTTTTGTGTCTTAGGCCATCAATGTGTACTTTACGAGTCATTAAATCATGTTTCATTTTGACTTCTCTGTGCATGCTTTTTGGTGGACCCCCTTAGCCTCCAGTGTATGACTGATAGACTACAACGGTTTGACTGAAAAATGTCATTGGACCCCATTGAAGTCACTATATGGAGAAACATCGTGGAGTGTTTTCCTCAAAAACCTTAATTTCTTTTTGATTTAAAGCCACACTGCGGAACTTTTTGGCCACTAGATGGTGCTCGACATGTAATTTTCACATCCAGCGTCCCTAGAGGCCACAAGCTCCGCAGCACTGTCGCAAATTAAAGTCAACAAACAGTCAACCGGTCAGCCTCCCGTGTCTTTAGATTGTGTGTGCTTGTGCTTTTACTGTCTATGGTGCTTGCAGTGTATGAGGCGGGCCGGGCAACCTTGCCGCGCTTGATTCCCTTATAGCAGCCGGCTGAGAGAGCGAGCGGTGTGATCCCCGTGGGGATTATCATGTCTGTGAGTGAATGTGGGCGCGGGACAGCACGGACACATTCCCTGCACTGAAAACACCGTCGGCCAGAGCTGAGTCTGACTGTGACGTTATGTGTTTTGGTTTATTTTTACAGCAACCGTGGGACATGTAGTGTGTAATGTTAGTGTTGTGGGTACTACTGAGTCGTGGGGACGTTCACTACATTTAATGTAACGTTGACGTTATATTTGACATGAGCCGATTTTATTAGTGCAAGCCCTGCACTGAGGCGGGCTGTTTGTAGAAATGAACACTGGGCTGTGGGCATTTTATTACACTCATAACACCATCGGAATACCAGAAAATACTACACTGCTTATATGAATTTATCTGGATTACCTTAGAAACGGCATTTGTGTGCAGGCAAGCGTCCGCATCGGTCGAGCACTCTTTCTCCTCCGTTAGCTCACGCCAGCGAGGGAAGCGAAAGCTGGACCAATGTGTTAATCCTAGTCCTGGCTTTTAATTGGTCACTCTCCCCTTTTCTTTTTTAGTTTCCTCTGATAAAACCGTTGCCTTCTTCCTTGTAGCTGTTGTTCGGCATGACGAAAACATACTGACGGCAGTCAAACGCGAGTTGAGCACTAGCGTTAGATTCTGAGGAAGTTGTGGGTGGTGGAGGAAGTGACGTATGCCGTAAAGCGGTCGAATTTTGTAGTTGTTTTTATGCTCGGGTTCCTACCCGAAACCCGAAGTTACAAAGTGCAAGTAAAAGCGATACAGACACCTCCAGGAGACGGCAGACGCGTCATTCAACCTATTGCAAGTCGATCTACCATCTCAATGGGTTTTGGTAATATATTATAAAGGTTGAAGAGTTCCACGGTGTGGCTTTAAGAAAGAAAGACATGAACATCTTGGATGACGTGGGCGAGAGCACTTTTTTTTAGTGTTCATCAGAGGGTCCGAGACCCCAGGACTTTTGTCGCACTTGGACCACGAATACACACACACACACATTGAATAGATTTTGTGGTTGAAATTTAAAAAGTAACAAATCCTTCCCTCTCGGGTCGATCTCACGCCCTTGGGAATGGGAGGAATGCTGCAGTACACATAGAAAACCCTAAAAGGCTCAAAATTCAAATTAAAACGTTACCATTAATTGACTGTATAATGTCTACATGTGTATGCGAACACACACTGAAGAGAAACTGGCTTTAGGACCCAGCAGAACAGCTCCTCGGCTCCATATAGAGCGTTAAACCCATCTAGAGTCATGAAATATCATATTATGTTAATATTTTCCACAATAGGTCGGCAAAGACTACCAATGTAAGATTTAGAGCTGAATTAAAATAGTTATTTTACTGAGTTATTTGGAATTTGAGGTGAAAGAATGTGAGGAATGTGCTTAAATTACAATTTATTTATTAGTTATTGACCAAATCTAGTCTAATTAAAATAAAAAAAATAACCAAAATCTCTCAAAAAATTGCATAAAAAAATGAAAGTATGATTTTAAGGCTTCATGTTTTTTTTTTTGTTGGGTTTTTTGACCCATGAGGAAAGGATGAAGACATCATTGCATTGGATTCAGTTTTCTGTGTGTGTGTTTCAGTGTTTGACCTGTGCCACATCGGGTCCCACATCTGATGGGAGGAGAACTTCTCCAGGTACTGGTCCCACTGGTTTATGAGACTGAACATGTCGGGCTGGACCAGCGGCACACACACACAGCGTTCCCATCCCTCCTGTTCCCGCTGCACTCCCGCCCTCGTGTAGTTGTACACTATTCCTGGACCAATTCAATTCACATTTACACGTCGTTTAAATGCAGCTTTACAGAAGTGCATGAGTCCATTACAATTTACAGTGACCTGTTATCAGAGGAAACTGTCAAAGTTATGTATTTCAGAAATGTAGGCTACATAAATGACAGTTAGCGAAAAATGTGTCAATTTAAACAATGTAATAATTAAAGGTGGAAACATTGAGCTAACTATTCGACTTATTTAAAAAGCACATTCATTTAGCCTACATTTAATTCCAACACAATCTCACTGCAATTCAGAACTATTTTACATTATTGGCCTATTTGTTTGAATCTCTTTCATTCATGCTCACCGGTTTTCAAATATCTGTTTTTGTACGATTCACATCTTACATGATTTCGTGCAAAATCACCACCTCGTAATAATAGTTATGTAATGTTTCCCCATGAGATAAGAGCATAATTTTGCAGATCAGATTCTGAAACTTGATTTTATTTCCCCCTGGCCTGTATATTTATTTGGCTTTCCATAGGCTATTCCTTGCAAAGTATGACTCGCTGTTTGACGATTTAAATCGTGAAACTCAGTAAACAGTCTGTGAATGCTTTAAAGTGAGCATGCTTTCATAAATAAAGATTTTGTTTATGAACTATTATCATTGTAGGGATTTTTTTCCCAGGCACATTTGCATTGTTTTGTGTTAAACTGATATTTGCTCACTAAAGCAAAATATATAAATAATTATCTCATTCTTTAAGGATCTGACATGCTTTTTGATGATTATTTTTAGAGTTTTCTAGTATTTGATGCGCGGGTTTTCATTCGTGGGACTAGGTTCAAAGCACAAAATGCCAGTAATAATCGTTAATCATCAGTTTCCTGGTCACTTTCTTATGAATTTTGTCAATGTTTGGTGGCGAGATGCTCGTGTGATCATCAGATGCTATCTGTAGTTTGATGCGCTGCATGTTTCAGAGTAAAGCACAGCACTGCTCGTTTCAGTCCTGTCCAGATCACAGTTAATGCTTCTCTGAGTGCTCGAGTCGCTTATCATTTACACAATGTGCGTCAATCATCTTCCCAAACTCCTAGTGAGAATCAGTTATGAATCTGTGATTGTCGACAAAAAGGAACGTTAAAAATAAATAAAGTTGAAATTTTGTACTTTTACTACTTCAACTGCTAAACTTTTTTTGTTTGTTTTTTTATAAAATAATGATTGTTATTAATAATACTTTTATTAAAACATATTGTATTGTTATATATATATATTGTTTTATTGCATTATAAAATACATATTTTTTTCTGCTCACATGCCTGTAAAACAAAACTGTTTTAAAGGGCAATTTCCTGAATATCACTAATATAGTTAGTTGTAGTTAGTACCATTTAACATTCAAATTATAAGCAGTTTTATTATCATTGAGCTACTATTATTACTTTTATTATTATTTTGAATCAGTTATCAATTATATTGTCCATTTTGATTTAACTTCAAATTTTAATACTTTAACTGAGAAATGTTGAAATGAATTTATAAATTTTAAAAACAAGTTGATTTCTTTATGGTTGTAGTTTTAACCCTGGTTATAAAAAAATAAAATTATACTTAAAATAAAAATTTCTGTAAATTACTTTACTGTAGCACTTTTTAGTGTTAAAATGACATCACATTACCTTTAGTGTTAGTGATCCCTGTGTGTAGATCCGAGCGGCCGTCAAAATCCCTGCGAAAGCACAGCGTCAGTCCCAGAAACTGTTCAGATTAATCTTTAAATGAGGATGTTCTGTTATAAAAGCGACGGTGGTATGTTAATATGAGAGTTAATATCGTAAGTTACCTCAGCACACTGTGTTCTGCCGATGCCACGAGGAAAGCGCACGGGACCTTGTGTCCGTTAGAAAAGGGGTTAGGCACGCTGACCGGTGCCTCCTCCAGCCTCTTCCCACTGAAGCTCATCCCGCATTCGGGACACTGATCCGGGACAAAGAAGCAGAAGATGTCCTTCTCACAGTGACTGAGTTTGATCACACTCTTGTCCATCGGGAGCAACACGGCAGACTCTGTGTGAGACCGACTGACTCTGAGTGAACAGTGTGTGTGTGTGTGTGTGTGTGTGTTTCACGCGGATCCGGTTGCCGCTGACGCCATTAATCCTGAGGAACTGCGGTGTCGGTTTCATGGCAACTTCATTAATGTTCATCAGCTCGCGTGACGACAGTCTTCAGTTCCTCCGTCTGCCTTCTGTCAAAGAGTGGCGAATGGCGATAAACAGATCAGTCATTCTCACACACACACACACACACACACACACAACAATCATCCGACAATACATACCACACACACACAGGGTCACACAGAAAAGTCACATAACACACAAAACGTAGTTCAAAATAATAGCATTTATCTGAAATTGAAAGCTTTGAAACATTATTAAAAAATGCACTACATTTGAAAGAAATTAAAGAAAAGTAAAAAGCCTACTTTTATTCAGCAAGGACGCTTTAAAGTAGCTAGCCTAATCAAAAATGACACAGTAATGTTACAAATGTTTGTTTTTTTATTGTTATTATTATTTCGGACACATTTACTTTGAACCTTCTATTCATCATAGAAGAATCCTGACTAGAAAAAAAAACACAATAATAATAATTAGAAATGTTTATTGGTTAGGAAATCACATCAGCATATCATTCCCTCAGGAAGATTTCATGTTTTCTTGCATGGCTGGATGTTAAACTCATGAACAATATTTGCATCGTCTGATTTCGCCAAAAATGATTTGAAATCAAAACCCAGCCGGACAGTAGAAGGTATTTGCCGTTAGCGCGAGTCCGGCTCGAACCGGTAGCAACTAGACAGCAGATGCTTCTGTTCACAAATCAAACAATGATTTGTCTGAAAAGAATAATTGATTCTCAATTTAGAGTTTATTATTCGTATGGTCTGATGCATGTGAGTGTGGGCTGTGATTGGATGGTGATCGGAGTCGTGATCATTCTCAAGTGTTGTGTTGCTGTTGTATCAGTCAGTGGTTAGATCAGCGTAGCAGTCAAGCGAGGTCCTGTACGAGACAAATAAATTAGGCCCAAAATACTCGATGCCCCGGCTAATTCGGGACAGTTGCCAACCCTGCACACACACACACAAACTCAGGATCTGATGTTGATTCTTGTTTTATTACGAGCTTTGTCGTAACAATCCCACACACACACTCAACTATCCTCTGACAACCCCCCCCCCCCCCCCCCACACACACACACACACACACACACTCACGATTTGATGTTGATTCTTGTTTTATTACGAGCTCTGTCTCATTCTCGTTTCTCCAGCAGACTCTCCTCTGTTCACACACACACACACACAAACATTATGTATTGAGTCATTATTTAAATCTTGTTAATTACAAAAAAAAACAAAAAAACACAGTGTACATTTAAACATATAAGTATTATGCAATATAAGACACTTCTCCTTCACTCTTAAAATAAAGCTTCTTTATTCCATGAAGAGCCTTTAACATCCAGGGAATCTCTCAATCGCACACAGGGCTCTAGCCTAAGAACGGGTGACTGAACGCCTCTGTTGGGAAGCAATGGTTCTTATATGCGAAAACCTTCTTTTGGAACCTTTAAGTGTTCTTTAATATTGAATCAAGAACCCTAGCGTTCTCTAAGAACACCATGTGTTTTAATACATTCATGAAGAGCAGGGATATAATAGGCTTATATAGCGTTTTATGAGGAAACGTGCATCACACGTCATCGGGTGCGTTCACGGTGTAAAACCCATGTTGTGATATCGCATGATAGATGCTGATGTACTGAGAAACCGCCTTGATCCGGGGTAAGACGTGTCGTTGGGTGAACTGGTCTCTGCTCAGCGGCTGCTGGCCGATCCGCGAGAGCATGTGGTTTATAAAGCTCAGAGCGAACCCGTAACAGCAGGAGCCGAACACGCGCTCCTCCTCGAACCTGCAGGAACACACACACACCGCATTAAACAACTATATCTTTTTGAATATAATGTATAATAATGAATTTGTGTGTCCTCATAATGCCAGATGTCTGATGTTACCAGTAACAGTGGCCGACATTATTTTAAATATATCTAGTCAGTGACAGTGAAAGCATGTTCATCTAAAATATTTCAGGATTTTCATCTTCAGAATCATGAATGTTGTTATTCCGGTGTCTCTATTGTCCTGTGCTTTGGGTTTCAGCACCAAGTCCAAGACTATTCATTTACAAGACACACTGAAATACCAAATTTAGCATTTAAATCAACAGTAAAGTTTTTGTTAACCTTATTTTATATGTCTAGGAGTATCAAAATAATATGGTATCATGAGTTCAGTATCGTGATATGTATCGAATCGTGACGTGAGAGTATCGGTATACCGCTAGGAGTGTGTGTAATGCTGTACCGTTCTGAAGTCCAGTCTGGAAGCACAGAGAACTTCTCCAGCTCAGCGTCCCATGATCTCGCGAGCTGGGCACACACACACACACAAACACACCGTTCCCAGCCGCCAGCATCTCTGCGGACCCCGGACAGGGTGTAGTTGTAGACCAGACCTGCGACAAACACAGCTGACGAACACACACTCAAACTAACAGTATAATATTCACAGCTGGGAAACACTGTACCTTCTGAGTTTGAAAGACCCACGTGTATCTCAGTGTCACTCCATTCTCTGGAGAAAAACGTTAAAAGAATGAAAGAAAAAGAGCCACTATAGCTTATTATTCAACAGTCTCGAAGAGCCTCTTCTGCTCAGCAAGGCTGCATTTATTTGATCAAAAATTTTTAAAATTCAAAACAGTTTTTTTTCCATGTACGTTTATTTCTGTGATCAAAGCTGAAGTTCCAGTGTCATTACTGAAAGTGATAGTTCACCCAAAAATGAAAATCATCCCATAATTTAGTCTAGGTCTATATGACGCAAGTCGAGTTTCGGCGGAAGAGTGACCTCTGACCCGACGCATGACGAGTAACCTCTGACCTGACGCATGACGAGTGACCTCTGCCATGACGAGTGACCTCTGACCCGACACATGACCTCTGACACGACGCATGACGAGTGACCTCTGCCATGACGAGTGACATCTGACCCGACACATGATGAGTGACCTCTGACCTGACGCATGACCTCTGACCCGACGCATGACCTCTGACCTGCGTATGGACGTGTGACCTCTGAACTGACACATGACTTCTGACCTCTGACCTGACACATGATGTGTGGCCTCTGACCTGATGCATGACCAGTGACCTCTGACCCGATCCATGACGAGTGACCTCTGACCCGACACATAACCCATGTCGGGCTGACCGGGAGAGAGGGAGCAAGAAGCACCATCACCTGACTAGCCTTTATGTGGGTTAATGAGTCTGAAGAACTGGGCTGGGTGGACTCGGTAGATGAAGGCAGTAGTGTGTCTTCTTCATCAACTCTTGCTTTTTTCAAATATCACATTAAAGAAAGTTGTTTAGCCATTATTGTGGCGCCGGCAGCGCTCAGAGAGTTTTCCTGTTGGAACCCATAGCAACCATATTAGCAACCAATAACGTTCCGGAGGGAGGCTTACAACAACTTTCTTCAACAGTTCCATTTTATTTTGGAAAACAAATTAAACACACACACACCAGTCAACAATAAATGGGGTTTATTATTATATTTTCTTAAATAGATTTGAATAATAAAAATAAACTAAAAATGTATTTTTATCAGACTTCTGGGCAGGCCAGTGCAGCCTTTGCCCATTACTGGCTAGGCTATGCCCCTGGTCTATACATAGTTCCCACAGGCAAAAAAATTGTCACGTGACCTCCCCGGAGACGCCATCTTTGAGGGCAAAACCGCTGTGTTTACCATAGGCGTTTACAACGTTTTATCAGAGAATGTCGTTTTACAAACAAATATTTATGTCTGTTTATATTTTTATGCAAATCATGAAAAGACAAAGTGTAATAGATTATAAAGAGACTATTAAAACAAGACATAGAGAGGTACAATGCGAAAATTTCATTCATAAATGGTGTGTATCCTTATGCAACAAAAGAAGCACTGAGCACCGATTATGCAACTTTGCCTCAGATACAGTATTTTCATGTGTACAATTATCTGGTATTGGTGAGGAGTTTTTACACATGTGAGCAATTCCAAGCCTGGAAATCACTGGAGGTGTACGATCAGATTGACGTGGGGTTGGTTTGGTGACGTTTGCTCAAGTGCAATCAATGGAAAAGTAACTTAAGTCATCATAGCGAAGTAGCATGATGCTAATCTGTCTATTAAAAAGCCATAGCCTGCACAACTTAATTCCTATGTTCCCCAGTCACCGGTGATTTCTGTAATATGCATGTACTTGCGGGCGTCATGGTTCGGTGCATGAATATTAAAATAAATAACTCGCGTGCAATTTAATTAATGTAATAAATGAGGAACTACATTATACGCGGGATCTTTAGGGACATAATCTGAGATTGCAATGCTGGAATGTGAGATCAAACAGTGGAAACAATGTTGTTTTGTATGTTTTTAATACCTCGTCATTTTGTTCATACAGGACATTATTCAAACTGCAACGTGTTAACTTATATTTATTTACACTCGCAATAAAACACAACATTGTGCTTTTGTCAAAAAAATTCGTGCGTGTTTAGAGTGAGTTTCTTTCCTGTTCATGCTCGCCAGCCATAATCTCCATCGTTGTTCGGACAAAAGCTTAGTCTTCTCACATCCATATCCTTCTAATGACGGGTATAGTGTAAAATCCCGATTTAACTGAACCTCCGGCACGATTTTATCATCCATTGACTCAGCAGGAGATGACCATTTTCACTTTATAGCACGAAACTCATTTCACTTCGTTCAACTCGTATTGCTTCTTCTTATGTTTTGCCCTCAGCAATGGCGCCGGGTCGGCAAATGCCCGTATGTTGTGACGTCATGTGGGAACTATGTATTGTCATCATGAGTCGGGTCAGAGGTCACTCTCTCACTGGAAAAAGACTTACTGGAAGCCAGTGATTATAGTTTATGAAGTTATAAATATGAATATTTTTCTTCTCTTCAGAAGGCCTTTATTAACCGCTGGATCCAAATGGATGACAGATATTATGATGATGGATGCACTTTGGGGGCTTCAAAATCTCAGGCACCATATATGCTTGGAAGAGCCAGCATATTTAATATATTATTTATCTCTTTTTCTTTGATTGTATTATACGTAGCCAGAGAGGCCAGAGCCAGAGTTTCAACAAGTGAGGCTCAAGTTTATCATGTTAATGCTGCTTAGCATTTTTGTTCATTACCTTTTCGAAATAATCCACTAAACAAGTTGTGATTGCATTAATATTTTCAATTCCATCTCATTATCTCAAGATCACGCCCACAATTGTGGAACTCGTGAATACCCGCCCACTGGAACAGTATTTCACAGGAACTGAATACAACATAATAATGCATTATAGTCATATAAACTAACTCACCCAATATATGATGGTCCGTGAATAGATCCTATCAGAAACGCACATGAGATTTTGTGTCCATTAGTAAACGGGCAGGAAAGCGCGACCGGCGCGTTTAACAGTCCGAAAGTTGGAGTCTGATGACAGATCGGACACTGACACTGAGAATACGAGGAGAAACTGTACACATCGCTTCCACAGTGTCTGTATTTGATCACAGTTTCCTCCATTAGTGTTCAGGTGTTCGCGTTACCTGTCGTCCTCTGAGCCTGATCTCAGATCTGTTTTGTTCCACAGGTGACGTCATTGTGTTCGAAACTAGTCCAGCAGGGTGCGCAAAAACACTGATCTCCTCCAGTAAATCCATCTATAAAATAAAATAACATTACTTATTCTCTTTCCAGGTTAGTGTATCCGGCTTGTTTGCTCTTTTGGAGCTACATTATTTTCCACACCTCTCCTAATCGGTATCTGTAGTGAAAGCTGGTTTGTTATGTCCAGCGGAAAAAGCGATATATGCGATTCGTGATGATTTGTTCAAAAGAGTCAGTTCAAACGATTCTATGCGTACGTAGATGATGTAAAATAAGTGTTTGTGAACTACCAGCAAACACAGAACTTTTCGTTAACGTTCCCATTTTATAAACCAAAATAGGAACTGCTCTTTTAACCACAAACTGAGATATGCCATGAAATGATTAGTTCGAAAGAACCGACTCGTGGAAGTGAATCGCACTAGGCGGAAGCAATGATCAGTCGCGGCGCTGAGCCGGTGATATTTTCAGGTTGCACAAAACCGTGCAGACAGCAACATTTCACAGTAAATTATTACATTCGTAGCTGGATAAAAGATGTCAACGAAACAAGTGACCTGCAGGTAAAGAGAAACGCATAACCGTCATAACACAACCATCAAAGCATCGCTGACTGCAGTAAATAAGGTCAATGGTAATATCATGACTTTGACATGAGAAAAAAATGGTGTAGCTGGACTGACGCATCGGATTTCTGACATTTAAACATTTATTCAGCATCTCATGCTCTGATTCAGGTGTGTTGATGATGTTTTGTGTGTGTGTGTGCCTGTGTGCAGGTATTTCCTGCACGGTGTGTGTCGTGAGGGCAGAAAGTGTTTGTTCTCTCACGATCTGACTACGAGCAAACCTTCAACCATCTGTAAATACTACCAGAGAGGAGTCTGTGCTTATGGAGACCGATGCAGGTGATATCATGTTTTAAACCTTTCTGCATGCATTTTGCTGAGTTACTAGGCATATTTAATGAGTGATTCTTCGATTTGTTTTTGATGACGTTTGTACTGGCGTGAGGGCGGGGCTACCTGTCACTCTTAGAGATCCACCAATAGCAAACCACAACCATCAAAATTAATTCCCCATAGACGCAATCAACCCCTCCATTTGTTCTTGTTTGTGAAGCGTTTCACTGGGATAACACTATTGACCCCTTTTCATTTAGTAAACATTGTGACGTTTTTTGTGGGCGGAGCTTAGGTGGAGGCAAAACGATTCCCCTGGCCGCTTCACTAAAGCTAGTTTGCAAGTTTTGTTAGCTTTTTTTTTTAACAATGACTGGAGAAAATCCGAAGTCCTCTTTTATCTTAATATGTAAGGTCACTCACTCACTGTCCAAGACTGTGAACCAGATTGGTCCGACCCGGACACACTCACTCAATGGATGATCTGACAGGATTAATGTTACCTCGATTGAGTGGCCTGATATCTACACCTGATATAGAAACCGAGCGTAAAGAGAAACTGAGGGCGGATAAATATTTAGATGCCTATAACTGTGATAAAAGGTCACGTACACGACTTGTACGATACGATCCACAGTTCTTCCTAGCCAGCGCCAAGGCCACAAGACGACTACGTAAAGAGTGACATTACAGAGCAATTTTAAAGATATTTTTGAAAACAATTCCATATTGAGCAATTCAATTTTTGAACTTGATGAATACATCTAGTTCAAAAATGTAATGGCTCAATCTGGAATTGTTTATTCTTTCTTACAAGGTACTTCAAAAAGTCTAGTCACAATCAATCACAACAATGCATAAATACAATCACAGATGATTCACAAATACAAAAAATGGAGAAAAGTGACTTTAATAACAGAATGAAAAGGTCCCATAACTGAAGAATCACCATGTCTCATATATGTATTAGATGTGTGGTATGTGTGTTGTGTGATAGATATGATCATGTGAAACCGTGTGGCCGTGGCGCGGCGGTCGAGAACCCGACCAGATCCGGGTCAGCGCCGGGACCTGTTCCACCAGCAAACACTGGCAAACCTGGCAAAAAACCACTGGTTCTGAGAGACAAAGGTACGATACCCTCATGTCATGATTCGACACATATCACGATACTGAACTCACGATACCATATTATTTCGATACTCTAAGACATATCTAATGTCTAATATCTATAAGACTCTAAGGTTAACAAAAAATGTACTGTTGATTAAAATGGTAAATTTGATATTACATTTTGTGTGCAAAATGAATAGGTTTTGGCCCAAAGCACAGGACGATAGAGAAGATGAAAATACTGAATTATTTTAGACTATTTATTTTTAAATCTGAATTATATAAGACTGATTTATATTTAAAATAATGTCGAAAACTTTTACTGGTAACATCAGACATCTGGCATTATCAGGACACACAAATATCCCCCTATTGCATTATTATACGTTATAATCAATTAACATTATATAATGTAGTTTAATATGGTACTGACACTAAAACTCTGAAAACTTGAATTTGTTTCTCACACAGTAATTTTTAGTTTGGTTGAACCATCCACATATTTTCACTATCCTCGATAAATATTGTTGATTTTTGTTTTGCAATATATTGTGACACCCCTAATCTGCACACATGACTGTACATAGATACACTACATGGTACATTAGAAATGACGTAGCTTCTCCTATACGTAACCGAGACGTTTCCTTTAAAGGTGCAGTGTGTAATATTTAGGAGGATCTGTTGACAGAAATGCAATATCACACACATAACTGTGTTGTCAGTGGTGTATAAAGATCTTACATAATGAAGCGTTGTGTTTTCTAAGCTCAGAATGAGGCGTTTCTCTCTACACACACCCCGGGTCCGCTTACATCCACATCTTTCTACGATGGCTCTGAGCGGAGCCATCGTATGTTGTTCTTTGTGTAAAGAAGCTGCTAAAGTCAGCGAATGACACAATGCTGAACAAGTAGCAATCTATCTTTTTACTGAATAATTAAGTAAACCCAATTTCTTAATTTATCTTTGTAAAGAAATCTAATTTCCTAACTGGCTACTATCGTGTGTGTTGTTGTGCAGCTCTGGGTCCATCTGGAGGCGAGAGTGCAGAGGACTCCTTGGACTACATAATAATAATTAACTATATAGCCAATAATTAAGTAAGCTGAATTTCTTAATGTATCTTTGTAAAGAAACTTAACTATACATAACTATCTACTCTCTGCTGTCTCAGACGATGACATCACTTCCTGTTGGCCACCGTAACTTCTGTTGGGTGCAATTCGCAACCTCACCACTAGATGACACTAATATTTACACACTGCACCTTTAAGAATGAATGAAAGAAGGAGCAGTAACACAGTTTCTATTGTTTCTCTTGAACTTTCAGAAATCAATTGAAATGTGAAGTCGAGTCTTTTCCCAATAGACCCCAGTGTGTGTTGTCAGCTCTGGGTCCGTATGGAGGAGAGATTGTAATGTTGTGTGTGTGTGTGTGTTTTCAGCTCTGGGCCCGTATGGAGAGAGTGCGGAGGACTGCTGGGACTACAGGGACGCCAGCGCTCACGGTAAACCGCATTCGTACCTGGACGCCATTCGCTCCGGGCTGGATAGTTCTGAAAGTTCTGCCTCATCCGGCCCGTATCCGGACGCTGGGCCTCAGCCGCAGCTCTGCCCGTACCTGGCGGCGGGCCAGTGTAACTATGGTGACCGCTGCCCGTATCTCCACGGCGACCTGTGTGAAATCTGTCGTCTCCAAGTTCTACACCCGCACGACCCTGAGCAAAGAGCAGCGCATGAAAAGGTGATTTCTATTGGTTTCAATAGAGTGCAACAGTTGAAGTGAAGATATATAATATGTGTTCCCTGTTTGATTTTCCCAAAATGAATCATGCCTCATGTTTAAACACTATCTACATAGTGGCAAATTCCCGAAGTACATGAACGCTGAACGGCCGCTGAAAAAAAAGAAGCTTTCAAATAGGTCCTATGTTTATGTTTAAATCACATATTTAAATCACCGCCTTTGCATTAGTGAGATTGCCGCTGTCCTAGGGATGTCACGTCACCAAAATTCCAGTAGTCTGTACCGATACCATTAAAATGTTACGGTTCTTGGTACCAATTTCGGTACCACAGCAAAATCAGTTTGAACTATTTTTTCCTTGGAAAAAAAAAAGTTAAATTCAATTCAATGTCTTTATTATTTAAGACGGTAAATTTATGTAAGCATTGAAGACTGCATGCTGTTTAAACGAAAATGATGATTATATTGAGAAATATTGCTCATTAAAAAAACAAGTCTATGCACACATTATTATTAGTAGTAGTATTTTTAATCAATGGAGACGTTAGATCTATTCTACAGTAGCTTAATATAATTATTTCTGTCAATTTATTTAAGTTAAACCAAACTTTTATTTTGACGGGTTGCCGTGGAGACCTTTGAGTTTCTGTGCGCGGATGATATAACGATAGTTTTTCTCGAATGAAACGGTAAAATGCTCATGAAGTGACTCTCGGAGATGAATACAATCATTAATCATGTCATCATATCGTGAGGCAGCAGAGACTGAACACAGCGCGAGTGTCACTCGTGCTTCAATGTGTGTGTGAGTGTGTGAGGTAATGTTAAAGTCCCTGTAAAGGCAATTCTACAAAAAAAAATTCTAAACACATTATAAATGTTACAAATGTATTACAAACCCAATTCCATAAAAGTTGGGACACTGTACAAATTGTGAATAAAAACAGAATGCAATGATGTGGAAGTTTCAAATTTCAATATTATATTTAGAATACAACATAGATGACATATCAAATGTTTAAACTGAGAAAATGCATAATTTTAAGGGAAAAATAAGTTGATTTTAAATTTCATGGCATCAACACATCTCAAAAAAGTTGGGACAAGGCCATTTTTACCACTGTGTGGCATCCCCTCTTCTTTTAATAACAGTCTGCAAACGTCTGGGGACTGAGGAGAAAAGTTGCTCAAGTTTAGGAATAGGAATGTTGTCCCATTCTTGTCTAATAAAGGCTTCTAGCTGCTCAACTGTCTTAGGTCTTCTTTGTTGCATCTTCCTCTTTATGATGCGCCAAATGTTTTCTATGGGTGAAAGATCTGGACTGCAGGCTGGCCATTTCAGTACCCGGATCCTTCTTCTACGCAGCCATGATGTTGTAATTGATGCAGTATGTGGTTTGGCATTGTCTTGTTGGAAAATACAAGGTCTTCCCTGAAAGAGACGATGTCTGGATGGGAGCATATGTTGTTCTAGAACTTGGATATACCTTTCAGCATTGATGGTGCCTTTCCAGATGTGTAAGCTGCTCATGCCACACGCACTCATGCAACCCCATACCATCAGAGATGCAGGCTTCTGAACTGAGCGCTGATAACAACTTGGGTTGTCCTTGTCCTCTTTAGTCCGGATGACATGGCGTCCCAGTTTTCCAAAAAGAACTTCAAATTTTGATTCGTCTGACCACAGAACAGTTTTCCACTTTGCTAGAGTCCACTTTAAATGAGCCTTGGCCCAGAGAAAACGCCTGCGCTTCTGGTTCCCATTGAGATATGGCTTCTTTTTTGACCTATAGAGCTTTAGCCGGCAACGGTGAATGGCACGGTGGATTGTGTTCACTGACAATGTTTTCTGGAAGTATTCTTGAGCCCATGTTGCGATTTCCATTACAGTAGCATTCCTGTGTGTGATGCAGTGCCGTCTAAGGGCCCGAAGATCACGGGCATTCAGTATGGTTTTCCGGCCTTGACCCTTATGCACAGAGATTGTTCCAGATTCTCTGAATCTTTGGATGATATTATGCACTGTTGATGATGATAACTTCAAACTCTTTGCAATTTTTCTCTGAGAAACTCCTTTCTGATATTGCTCCACTATTTTTTGCCTCAGCATTGGGGGAATTGGTGATCCTCTGCCCATCTTGACTTCTGAGAGACACTGCCACTCTGAGAGGCTCTTTTTATACCCAATCATGTTGCCAATTGACCTAATAAGTTGCAAATTGGTCCTCCAGCTGTTCCTTATATGTACATTTAACTTTTCTGGCCTCTTATTGCTACCTGTCCCAACTTTTTTGGAATTTGTAGCTCTCATGAAATCCAAAAGGAGCCAATATTTGGCGTGGCAATTCAAAATGTCTCACTTTCAACATTTGATATGTCATCTATGTTGTATTCTAAATATAATATTGAAATTTGAAACTTCCACATCATTGCATTCTGTTTTTATTCACAATTTGTACAGTGTCCCAACTTTTATGGAATTGGGTTTGTACTAAAACATATTACAAAGACTGTGAACTAATGCGCAGTTAGACCGCAAACAGGTTTTCACCATTGCTATTTTACAGATTTTTTGGGCGGGGCTAAAACAGGGCTCGATGACGCACTGGAGCCCATGAACTCGTGGACACGCCCCTACTTGATGACGCATTGAGGCCACTGACTCAGGCTGATCTCTTCCCTAACAATAGAGCACATTCGCATTCGCCGCTCAATCGCGAGTTACTGTCAGTACTATTAGTTACTACAGTCTACAGTTTGCTAGCTAGCTATGCCTTCGACATGGAAATGCATAGGCTACTACCTGGATGCGATCATGTACAAAACAGATTGGTGTTTTTATTTAAATTTCCTAAAAACGATCACATCAAGAAGAGGTGGATTAATTTTGTGTAGAGCCAACTTTGATGAAAAGCTGAGGATCACCGACAGCAACACCCGCCTCTGTAGTGATCATTTTACACTGGATAGTTTTATAAACTTTCCTCAGAGACAACTGGGATTCACTGATAATGTTACTGGTGAACGGGGCCGAAACGACTATATCCCGCCTCAGCATTCATCCTCCCGTCCCGAAAGCAGTTTCATCTAATATCACCGTCGACAGCTTCCCGCTAGTGGGACACGCCCCCAGCGTTTGAGAGCTTTTTTTCAAGATTTTGATAGCTTATTTTATGTTCTTGCCGGCTTTTTTATCATTTAAATTTGGCTGGGTGGCTAATAACACATTTTTCTGTGGTGTGACAGACTCAGAACACATACTTAATTTTGACTTTACAGGGACTTTAAATGAAACCATGCGTATGTGCCGTTCATTCACACAGAGACAAACAGAACACGCATGGTATATATTTAAATAGTATTTTTGCAGTTTAATATACACAGACAATATCAATTTAATATACATTTTTTTCTCTTTTTCATCAAACCACAGTTTTTTTTACAAGTTCCTGCAATTTCATCGCATAAAATTGCATAAATATCCCGCATATTCCATTGCATTTTTTAAGAAAAATGGCCGCATAATCAAGGATTTTTGTCCGCAACAATCACAAAAAAACTCTGCTGTGCTTAATGGGATAAGTAGTACATTCTTATGAATGAATTAAGTGCACAGTCTTGCAAAAAAAGTTGTATTAGGTATGAGTAAGACTCGTGTCACATGTTGCTGATGAGGATGCTGATTCTGTGTGATCTCAGATGTGCATGGCGGCCTTCGAGATGGACATGGAGCGGGCGTTTGCGGCTCAGCAGAGTCAGGATAAGCAGTGTAAGATCTGTCTGGATGTGGTGTACGAGAAGACGTCTCCGTCGGAGCGGCGCTTCGGGATCCTGTCGAGCTGCGTACACACGTACTGTCTGAGCTGCATACGCCAGTGGCGCTGCGCCGAGCAGTTCCAGAACCAGATCCGAAAGTGAGTCAGTCCACTGGCTTGGACTTTAAATTATTCATAACTAGTGGTGGAACGGATCACAAAAATATATATAGGAGGGTAGCTTTATTTTAACTTTATTAAAGACAAGTGAACAGTCAGTAATAAAATAAAAACAACCATCACAGCACCATCACAGTAGTAATCAGGTACATAAATTAATTATTAAAGGGTTAGTTCACCTAAAAATGAAAATTAAGTCATTAATTACTCACCAATGCTGTACCAACCCCGTAAGACCTTCGTTCATCTTCGGAACACAAATGAAGATATTTTTGATTAAATTTGAGAGCTGTATAACTACCACATTGGCTCCTAAGGGACTGCCTCTTGACGGCCCAGAAAGTCAATGAAGAAAATGTTTAAATATCCCAAGTGACTACCGTGGCTCAACTATATGTTTATCAAGCGACGCGAATACTTTTTGTGCGAAAAAACTAACAAAAATAACGAGTTTATTCGACTATTTCTTTTCTTCCTCGTTGGCCTGAAACGAGACTTCCTTAGATTTCCACGACGCATGCGCGAGAATTGCGATCTCCTTCAACTACTTCAGTTCAGTTCTCGCGCATGCGTCGTGGAAATCGTATGGAAGTCTCGTTTCAGGCCAACAAGGAAGAAAAGGAATAGTCAAATAAAGACGTTATTTTTGTTTGTTTTTTCGCACAAAAAGTATTCGCGTCGCTTGATAAACATATAGTTGAGCCACGGTAGTCACTTGGGATATTTAAACATTTTCTTCATTGACTTTCTGGGCCGTCAAGAGGCAGTCCCTTAGGCAGCCAATGTGGTAGTTATACAGCTCTCAAATTTAATCAAAAATATCTTCATTTGTGTTCCGAAGACGAACAAAGGTCTTACGGGGTTGGTACAGCATGGGGGTGAGTAATTAACAGTGGTGGAAAGAGTACTGAAAAAACATACTCAAGTAAAAGTACCATTACATTCCAAAAAATGTAGTGTGAGTAGAGTAAAAAGTACTTGTCCAAAAAACTACTTGAGTAAGAGTAAAAAAGTAGCTTATTTAAAAGTACTCAAGAGTAGTGAGTAGCGAGTACTGAGGTGCGGATTCTAACCCTTATAATAAACACTGTGCACTACAATTACACGCATACTGGAATTCACATTATATTTTGTTCTTTGTAAGAAAGATTGAAGAATATCTATCATCCATCTTTTTAAAATGCATCAAATCAGTACACTCATCACCATTTTTAAATCATATTATTTGGGGGAAAAAGCATTTAAAATTAGGCGAAAAGCCACTGGGCCTGAGCATGTTATTGTTGCACATAAAATATCTATATTCATAACTGTGCAAAGAATTCAAAAACCTTTAGAAACTCATATGATAGTTCAGCATCATGTGTAGTGGAAACTTTAGCGCACCGCCCAGCTCTGCTCTCTCAGACGCCCGCCCAGGTGTTGTGGAGTAATGAAGCTTTATTGTGCGCAGGTCTTGTCCTGAGTGCCGTGTGGTGTCGGAGTTCGTCATTCCCAGTATGTACTGGGTGGAAGACCAGGATGAGAAGAACCGCCTCATCGAGGAGTTCAAATCTGGAGTCAGGTACGAGTGAAACGGGTCTGTTTTGTGGCCTGCTTACAGAAGTACAGATATATACAGGTATAGATATAATATAACTATATGATTTCTACAGGATTTTGCAGTGGAACACACAACTGCATTCTTATAAAAATAGCAGCAGAAGAGGAATCAGTTCTGTATTCTAGCGCTGTCTGAAACGTGTTAAGCATGTGTATGATTATCTATGTGAGCAAACAGTGAGTAATGTGCTGAACAAATGCAGCGATTTTGATTCTTATTTCTTAAAAAGTCATTTAAAATGATCTTTATATTATGTTTATGAAGGTTAGCTTAAGTTAGCAGGGTTATTATCGTTATAAAAAAATCACATTCATAACAACATAAACAACTTTTTTTTATTTCAGCAAATTGCCAAGGCAAGTTAAACTTGATGTCCTAACATAACTAAAACTAAATCAAAACAAACAGAATATATAAAATGTATATAGAAATATTTAAAAACAAAAACCACTAAAAATGACAAAAACACACAACAAAATCATACTGTGTTGGTTGAGAAGAACCGCCTCACCGATGAGTTAAATCTGGATCTCTGTGTGCTGTTTTGTGGCCTGGTAATAGAATAACAGGAATTCAGAATTCTACAGGCTTCAGTTTTACTGATTCTGATAAAAACTTATTTCTTAAAAAGGTCATTTAAAGATCAGGGACAATAATATCCATGTTAGCTTAATTTAGCAGGGATATAATACTATAACCATTGAAAATGTTTATGTTTAATGTTTTAAACTAAAAGAAAACCTTAATATTTTAAGCTTGTTGTGTATGTTGACTAATCATAAGCTTGTTCAGAAATGGTGACAAAAACGTAAAAAAACCCAAAACTTAAACATAAAAAATAACGTCTTTTTCGCTAAACGTAATTTAAATATTAGAATATTTGATTTTTATTAGCCTGAATATTCGAATGCAATATTTTAGAAAGATGCCAATAGTTTGTCAAGAGATTTAAAGCGTCGTGTTTGAAGAGTGCGCATGTGCGTGTGAACGAGCTCTAGTGTGTGAGAACGAGCCTATGATTGAATCTGGAAATAAAGCAAAATAACTGAGAAAAATGAGAAATATTCCTCAGATGCCATGTTCGTAATTTATAGTAAAACATCTCGCATTAATTCCATCTCAAAAACGTTCATTAAAAGTGTTATTACTCCAACACCTGCTTGACGTCATTAACCAACGTGGTTGAACGACCAATTCGTGACAATTTGGTTTCGGAAAACAGTCGTGGCTGGCTAGATGATTTCTTCAGCGATGCATCATCGTACTATAAGCGCGAGTTACAGCGTTATATGGGAAACACACCCCTGGTGGACAGTTACTGTAACAGAACTCACATTAATACACCCTCCGAGAATAGTGGCGGAGATGGAACCGAACATGGCTTCACTTTAAAGAAGCATCTGCAGTCCAAACAGAAGTCAATAGAATATGAGGTGAAAAGGCTTTGATCTTCCTTTGATTTGCACTCAAACTAAGGCCATGTTGTCCACACTGATATGTTTTTATTTGAAAACGTATATTTTTCTCTCCGGTTTGGCCTTCCGTCCACACTGAGACGGCGTTTTAAAGGGATACTCCACCGGGTTTTCATATTAAACTATGTTATCCCCTTAATTAAGACGAGCTGATGCATACCTCTCTCGTCTCAGTGCGTGCACTATATCGCTCTGTATTGCCGCAAAACTATGTTAGCATTTAGCTTAGCCCAGTGCATTAAATATGGGCCAAAAAGAGAAGCGACAAAACACTTCCTCGTTTTCCCTATTTAAACACAGTTACTCGATTAGTGTAACTCGACCTAGGCTGGTGACACAAAATAAAACGTTGTGTTTTTCTAAGCGTTTAAAATTGATGACTATATTGTATGGCGGAATACCATAAAAAAGTGCTTTAGAGCACTTCAACTTGGCGCAATAATACCTTCACTCGTGAAAAGTCCTCTTACCGGCTCCCGCTTCCTCGCTCTCCCCCTCCCTCTTATTTCCGTCAATGCAGCCAACGTGACATGCGACAAAGCGGGAGCCGGTAAGAGGACTTTTCACGAGTGAAGGTATTATTGCGCCAAGTTGCGCCTTTTTTATGGTGGCTGTCATGTGCTATTCACTTTTACGCTGTTACTAAAATATGTTAAACACTCTTTCATATCACAGTCCTGCACAGATGACAGAAAATTACTCACATTTGCTGTCCCGCAGCAAAACAGGAGAGCAGTTGCGTTTTAGACCAAACATATGGTGACTGAGTGCGACCGGGACGCATCAGTGATGGTGAGGTATTTTGCTAAATAAAATGATCTTGTTTGAAAAATTGCGCGATAAATGTATTATTTATTTTTCCATCTCGGTGAGCTTTTATGAGGTTCCACTCATGCGCAATAAGGTGAATTTAGAGGTTTCTCACCCACACTGAAACGTCAGAAAACGCTAGTGTGGACGGGGAGTGTTTTTAAACAAAGACACCGTTTTCAAATGTATCCGGATTAATGTGGATGTAGCCTTAGAGTTGGACTGGACATGTTGGTAACACTTTACTTGAAGGGGTGTGCATAAGACTGGCATGACACCTTCATGATCAGGACAAATGTTATGAATATGAAGGAAGATTTATGCATGTTTGACAACTGTCATTAAGTGTCATTCAGTCAACTATGACATTTTAATGCAAATATGACATTGTTTGAGATGTCGTTGTTATGACACCAAACCAATACATCATAACCTGTCAGTGTCTTTGTCATGACAACAAACATGACATAGCAGATTAATTATCAAACCACCAAGCTTTATTGCTTAACATTACATCAAACTGTCATGAGGCTGGTTTTGACATTTGTTATTTTTTAAATGACAAATTCAATTAGTACCACTGTAGTTGAGGTCACGAAAAATATTCATGACACAATTATAATGTCTCATGACAGCCAATTTCAAAGCCAACCACATGACAGTTTAACCTCATTTTATGTCAAGTTGTCATGACAAAGACACTGACGGCGGGTATTGGTTTATGTCAAGATGTCATAACAATGTCATATTTGCATTCAAAATGTCATAATTGACCGAAAGACACTTAGTGACAGTTGTCATAAACATGCATAAAACTTCCCTCATATTCATGTCATGTCATGGTTATGAAGGTGTCATGTTTTATGCACACCCCACCCCTTCAAGTAAAGGGTTACCGAAATGTTTTCATCCATCAGTGCATTTGTTCTCCAGTATTGGCAGAATGCAGAAAGATTTCTTTTGATATTATGGTTTTAACGTGTTTTCTTTCTATTGATGTCTTCCTGAATCTATTTCTGTTTATCTGTGTGTTGCAGTAAGAAAGCCTGTAAATACTTTGACCAGGGAAGAGGAACGTGTCCGTTTGGTGGAAAGTGTTTCTACATGCATGCGTACGCTGACGGGTCGAAAGCAGAACCTGATAAACCCCGCAAACAGCTCAGTGCCGAGGGGAACGTCCGGGTAAAGACCACACACTCACTTATATATGCAAATTATTATGCAAATCCTCATTTAAATAATTTATACTTGGTCGAGTGAGTTAGTAGTGTGTTAAACTGGCTTTTATGGAAGGGGGCGGGACATTTCCCAAACACACTCGAAGCGCTCGACCAATCAGAGCACAGTGTGCTTTTTCAGAAGGAGGGGCTTTATAGAGACAGGAAGTAAACAGAGCGTTACTGACAGACTGGCAAGAGAGGAGCCGCAACAAAACACTGTGGCTGCAGTACCAAACGCTTCCACTACGTATTGTATACTACGTATTGCACTGGAGCCAAGATTAAACATTTAAATACAATTTGTAATCCTACAAGCTCAAGTGGGACTGTTTCTTTCAGAACCATTTAAACTTTTCAAATCACATCCATGTTTTTTTGTGAGTGTGTTCAAGTTTACCAAGTTTTGCACCATTCCGGTGAAGTAAAAAAATCAAGGTCAAATTTTTTTGACCGGGGGTTTTAAAAAATGTGAAATATTGCCCTTTGTCTCTCTCAGTTTCTGAATTCAGTGCGTCTGTGGGACTTCATTGAGGAGCGAGAGCATCGTGGGCTTCCCCAGGACGAGGACGAGGTCAATGAACTGGGCGAACTCTTCATGCAACTCTCAGGAGCCGGTGACGAGAGCGGCTCCTCTGCCTCACATTGATCACATGACAATAACACGTATCGAGAGCGTTTCCTAAGACGACATTCTACCAGTGGTGCGTTTCTGTGAGACAGCATATACTACATCTGTACGAGTATGAAATATATAAAGCACCTGTATCGTATCTGTAGGCTGCTATATTCTCCTGGGAGGATTTTTTTTAACGCAAGGCCCAAAGATGAATGTATGAAAAAATGGGAACTAAAAATCACATTTTCAAATGCACTGAAGTAGTGTATGAAGTGTAATAATGTTGTGTCAAAAGTAGTAATTGTTGCACTTAGTTAGTTCAGATAACATTCATAATTTATTACATTTGGGCATCATGCAATATTACTGTGGTTAAAAAAAGAAAAAAGAAAAAAAAGCATCCATTCGTTTTGTCACCAGTGAATGGACTTATCGGTATTTTTAGGATATATTTACTTAATTTTGAATTCAGCTGATATCATAGTACTGAAATTCACTCGTCTGGTTTACTCTTGAATCCGATATGGGTTATTATATATTCATTTTCTGAACTGTATTGTTGAGTGACTCTTGAGCGAGTGTAATAAAGCGTTTCGTGAGCGATTGGTGTGTGTTTCTGAGTGATTAGCTCAGGTTCGTTTAAAGGCTTCAGAATTGAACTGAATCTGATTGAGATTCATACGCTAATATGCCAATATCAAAAGTGGAGTATGCACTGATATGAAAATTATGGCCGATAGGATAATTCTTTATATTTTAAAGCATTTCAGTGTTTACCTGGGTGGTTTTGGAACATTCGTGTGCCTCGTCACTTTAAAGAGAATGTTTACCCCAAAATTATTTTTCGTCATTTACTCACACTCAAATGTGGTTCCAAAGCCCTATGAGTTTTTTTTTTTTCTGTTAGAATACAAAAGATTATATTTTGAAGAATGTTGCTAACCAGACGTTATTGTTGCTATTCAGTTTTTGTGTAGCATCAGATTTGAACTTTTTCTCCCTCATTTACTGTTCGTGGCTGTTTTTGCCCCATTGACTTCCATTATAACCACATTTTTTGATTGCAAAGCCATGATGCCATATAATTACGCATTTTTGATTGTTGGTGGTTTTCCCTGTTTGGAAGAGGTAAAATTTGTCATTTTTACAGTTGATAACCAGGTGGCACCATTAACCATTTAGACAGACCTGTGCAAAAAAAAATCATGAATTTTTTTTAAACAAAAGTTTTAGTTTTGATCAGGGCTGAGGTTGATTAATAGATGTATGCAAAAAAAAAAAAAATATCTGATACATTTTTACAGCAGTTTAAAGTAGTGGCTGTTTTCAGCCACAAACATAATTGGGTAGTGAATTTGCTCAGAGTGTACTGTTGTGTTTTTGAAAATTTTCAAAGCATTTTCCCAAAATATGTGTCAAAATAAGATTTGTCACTAAAATTCATCCCATTTGCTGAAACACAGAAAAAGTTATGGCCAAATTAACACTCAAAAAAAATAGCCCATAGAGGCTGAAAACAGCCACAACAGCACATAAGGGTTAAAACAATCTCATAATCTCATTGAATACAACTATATTTTTTCAGTTTGAATTATTCAATTTGATTGGTAGCAGCCAGGTGTCTTATTATTCTAATTGAATGTATTGATAAAATGTTAGAATTTGAAATGAAATTAGGGGGAAAATGCCCTTAATAAAGGTACAACAAACTATTCCAAAAAGAGAGTTTTAAAAAAAATGAAACATTGACAATTTAAATTTTAAAGGGAGTAAAGCCTCAGTTTCAGGCTATAAAGGAAATGTAATTTTGCCAAAAAGAACTTCATTTAAATAAATGTTAATTTGAAATCAATCTACTTCAATGTGATATGATATGTTACCATATTATCATGCTTAATTGGCTTTATGCCCAGCTGCACTACTTCCTGAACTTCAGCCAGCTCCTTGTTTCCTGTCTGCTATTATTGGCCAAATTGATTAATTCAGGTGTGTCTGACTATTGTTGCCATGACTACTGAGGTCAGGTACACCTGAATTAATCAATTTGGCCAATAATGGCAGACAGGAAACGAGCTGGCTGAAATTCAGGAAGTAGTGCAGCTGGGCATAAAGCCCATGTGATGATCAGATGCAGATATTTAAATCAAAGAATATGGGTGGATGGTGGGTGGATTATTATTATGTTTTTATTTAAGTGACACAAAGTGCACCAGATTAATGAATTTATAAAATGTTCTCCATCTAGGGGGCATGGACTCGGACCCCCCTAGAGTTGCCATTTTACCACCTCACTTTGAGTTAGGAAAAACCCTGCCTGTAGTGTCTCCCCGAGGGCATTTAAGGGGTAGGCAGGGTGTGAGGGGTCTCTTTTGATGGCCTTGGTTCTCCTGCGGCAGCAGGATGTGGAGATGGTTTCCAGGCTGGGCAGAGGGCAGCCGATGATCTTTAGAGAGTCAGAGTTATGAGCTCTGATCAGGGTCTGGACTTCACTTGTCATCCAGGGCTTCCTGTTTGGGAAGTTCCGGATGCTTCTCTTCATTGTGACGTTTTCGATACAACACCTGATGTAAAAGAGGACAGACTCGGTGTAGTATATGTCCAGGTCCTGATCTTCAAAAATACTCGGTCTGTGTGGCTGGTTTTGTTTGCCTTCTGAGGGGGGTGTAGGCCGTGAAGAGGAGCAGACAGAGGTGGTCTGATTGTCCGAGGTGGGGGAGGGGGGATGCTCTGTTTACTGTAGACATTATCTAATGTGTTTTCTCCGTCTATGGTTTTCTCCCCTAGTAGCACACTTGATGTGCCGATGGGCTTTGCGGAGAACAGTCTTAAGGCGCGTTCGAGTGTTCGAGTTCGTCCCAGTGTTCGAGTCCGAGTCACCAAAGAAGAGTCCGAGTCGAGTCACCATTACCTGAATTCAAGTCCGAGTCGAGTCTCGTGTTCGAGTCTCGAGAACCCAGTCAGGCTGCCATCTTGTTGCTGAGCTGTTACACCGGCATAGACATATGCACCGGTATGTAAACAAACCTCGGTGATAACGCGAACGCACCCTCGATGACAGCTACAGCCAGGCAGAATGACTTGTTGGGTTGATGATGTTAGACAGTGGCCTCCAGTCACAGATGAAGGTACAAACGATCTTACAGATTATTTATGAAAATAGCTTGGCAAGCTAGCTAGGCTAACGTTTGCTAACGAGGAAACTATAAAAAGATCTGTCCATTTGGCAACAATAAATAAATAAATGAAATCAAATAAACAAATTCATGTTTTTCATTTGTGTCCATTATTTATCTCATTTTCACATTGCAACGGGCAAGGGTAAGGTAACGTTACAGCTAGAAAGTATACATAATATCGACCAATTAGTGTTTTTAAACCATGGAAAGAGGTTAATATAACAGCGGGAGAACAATTATGTCACATAACGTTATACTGTATTTAGCTCAGGAAAGCCATTTAATGACCATAGCATGTTAATTGAATAGAAAAAATAGCAAGAGAGGAGATTTTGCTGATCACTATATCACATATTTATTATATTTTTTACTTATGTCATTAAATAATTGTTATTATACGCGAATGTCCGTGTCTTGTACTCGCCCAGGAAATCTTTGTAAACCGTACGGCTCCAGACAGGGGCAGTCCACCCGGGGTATTCACAATGTTTTCTCTTCAAAATTGAAATTTTACTGCCACCATTGAAACAATTTATAACGGAAACTGTTTACCCACTCGACATTATACAAGGGCTAACGTTGTAACGTTAGTGACAGTCGTAAATCGCGGGCTGTTTATTCCAGTGGACGCAAGTTGCAACTAAAACAATAGGAGGCAATGGCGCAACGCTACCCAGCAACAGCTCAGTAATGGCGCCCGCTTACTTCCGGTAGTTTCGCCGGATTCGTCTATATGGTGTAAAAACGTCTTAGTGCTGCCCTCTTCAGGTTGAACGGTGGCTACTGCAGTTGAATTTTCCTATTGGATGTTTGCGGTCGTACGTGACACAGCGGTTGTTGGTGACGTAGGCAAGTTCCATACAAATAGAGTGCTGAAGTTACGACGTCACTCTGTAGGCCAAATCGCAGAAGTGAGTTAGCGTTTTAGCATTACGGTTCCCTCGCTCTAAAGCCTTTGGGATTTTTGAATGGGTTTTTGCTAAATCGCCTGAAATAAGGTCTCTGGTGAACAAAGCCTCTAAATATTTTCACGTTTTGATCTATGACATAGAACACACAGTTATGACCTGCTTGTGGTTTTTTTAAACTTTATTGTGTCTGATTGTGTTTTTTAAAATCTTTATATAGGCTTCAAAATGTATACGTTTTGGATTAACTTGTAAAGATTATCTTGCTAGACAAAACGTGTAAGGGTCACAACCCTTTGTTAAACACAGATCTTATTTTTTGCGATTTTCCAAAAGTCTATGGGAAAAATGCATTGCTTTTCTACCGAGGGAACCCATGCGCCGCTAGCTTCCGGGTTGTCCTACAAAGTGACGTCATCACTTCGGTCTCAGGTGCACGCCCCCCTCCGCTGGGCTCTGCCCACTTTTCCAGCATTTTTCAAATATTGCCAGTGGGTGGAGTCAGGCTCTGACCAGGGTTTAGTTACCCTTTAATAATGTAGCTTTACAGTATATGTCAGATATGATTGCATTGCATATTATATAAATTATATTAGTTTGAGCTACTAGCAATGTTTTCCCCCAGCTATGAATGTTAAAAGCTCTAATCACAGAGCAAATAATACGTTTGCTTTATTGTAATTGTAACGCCATTTCCCAGAATTAAAAGAAAATTGCTTTACATTGATAAAGTAAACCAGATAAATTAATCTAAACCACATCTTTAATGGGGGTAATTTATAACAGGGAGCAATTACATTTCCAAAGTAACCTTCCTAACCCTGACTGTAGGGGAGCGCTGGGCAGTGGGCACAACGTAACGCGGGGCTAGTTGTAACACACTTGTTTTAAATACTTCCACACGCTAGCATGCCGAAACTTGGCGTGTTTACTAGTTGCTATTTCAACACTATACTGTGAAAAAAATGCGCCAAAATTCAGAGATCTTTGTAAGATATCACTGTACATTTAACCATAGCAAAAGTGCATATCTTACTTACCTAAGTTAATTTTTCATCTCTATTTTTTGCGTTTAATTAAAATTAGACAAATCTGACATTTTTTGAATCTCTAATCTGTTGTTTAACAGTTGATATAGTTCTTTAATGCTTTGCTAACTAGCAGAAGACACTAGCAGGGTCTAAACCCCAGTTGTGCAGTTGGGGCATGTTGTCACACTGCGTTACATTGTGCCCCTATTAGAAATATGCTGTTATATTCTATACTTTTATGAATTCTATTGAGAAAACATGAAAAACATGTAAATAAAGACTGAAAGTCAATGTTCAGAAATGATTAATTATATCTGTGTTTTCCGGTGTGTTTGTTGTCAAAATCAAAAATTATTATTTTTTAATTATTAAAAAATGCCATTATTTTATATGAAAAAGTTAATAATTGTGTTTTATTATAAGAAAATATTTTGGTTTGACTTGTATATATATATATATATTTTTTTTTTTAATTAGATGAGATAGCATTTTAAGCTGTTATATGGTGATGTTACAATTTGCCCCTCACATGTTACAACCTATGGGGCATGTTGTCACATTTCACATTTCTTTCAGGGTAAATCAAGAAAAAAGTACTGTATTAATAAAACAAAACCACATAATTGTACTAGACATGTGGGACAAAAATAAACACTCTAAATAGATTTGCACAAACTGAGAAAGTCAAAAAGCGTTATATTGTGCCCTACTCTCCACTATGTGAGATTCAACATATTCTTTCTCTTGTGTGACTGTGTGGAATTTCTTTGAATTGCCATGAATTTAATTCCACTTCCTGTCATTCCAATTCAAATTCAACTTCCTGGGGGGTGGAGTCAATTCAATTCAAATTCCAATTCATGAATTGAATGGAGACCAATTCTGAAATTCAGAATTTTGCGCAAGCCTGGCTTTCAATAGGTTTGCCATTTGATGTTGCACAACGTTAGGTGGTCGCGCCAGTGCAGATTTTGGTCGGCAGGAAAAATGATTCAACTGTAATGGTTCAGTCTGTAATGCGAGTCCGAGTCCAAGTACGAGTCATCAGTCCACGAGTCCAAGTCGAGTCACGAGTCCAGAGAATAGAGTCTCGAGTCGGACTTGAGTCCAGAGAATAAGGACTCGAGTTGGACTCGAGTCCGAGTCCAGGACTCGAGTACTCCATCACTGGGCTGTTAGTCCATGGTATTTTACCTGATTCTACTTTATCTGTCATATTAGTGCCTATCATTAATGAAAAAGTGGGTAAGATTAACAGCGTAGATAATTACAGGCCTGTAGCTCTAGCCAGTATTTTGTCCAAAGTCCTGGAGAGGATTATACTCAATAGGCTGGAACATTTTGTTTTGACGTCTGACAATCAGTTTGGTTTCAAACCTAAACATGGCACTGACATGTGTATTTTTGCCCTGAAGGAGATTTTCGATTTGTATAACAGGCATAATTCCACAATTTTTTTGTGTTTTATTGATACCTCTAAAGCCTTTGATGGGGTAAATCATGAGAAGCTATTCTGCAAATTGTACAACAGAGGGGCTCCCAAATATCTAGTCTTGGCCTTCTGGTATGCTCATCAGTCATTGTATGTGAAGTGGGGTAATTCTATGTCTGCCTCATTTAATATAGGTAATGAAATTAGGCAGGGAAGCATTTTGTCTCCCTTTCTCTTTAATATTTATATGGATGACCTACCTACCTAAGTTGTTAAACAGTTGTGGAACAGGTTGTAGGGTTGGGGACACCATTATCAACCACCTAATGTACAAGGATGACCCTGTCATTCTTTGTCCATTTATGCTGGTCTTCAACAGCTACTAAGGGTTTGTTCCCAATACCAGACTGATCTCATGAAGTAGCGTGTGTATGATAGCTCAAAATGAGATAACACGCCACTTTCGAGTCAAGTGAATGAAAACTCTGGAAGCTCATTTGTAAGTGTAGATCAGTAAACGAAATATGAGGAATAGTTAGCAAAACATGTAGTGTATTAAAAACAAAGTCAAAAAAATTGCTTGCGGTTCATTCTTTTTCAGTTTCAAAGATATTTTATTCAGTTTCAATTCATATTTTCATTAGTTTCTTGAAAAGTTACGTTCATTTTTATTGGCTCAAAATTAATTCCATAAACCATCAGTTAATAACGTATTCGGTTACAAACATTACCTCAGTTCCCTGAGAGTAAGGAAACAGCGGAAGCGCACTGCAAACTAATCATGGTGCTTCACGCCTCGCCCCATTCATTTTGGCAGCACTTTGACAGCGAGTAACTTTACATCTGAGGCGCCCAAAGACTTCATTTTGTCCATTATTTAATCTCCTCCATCGAACTCTCCACTTTGCTGATTCTCCAGCAGAAAGAAGCCGTCGACGCGCCCTTGTAGTGACATGAGCAACCTGTAGCTTTTAGACAGAAAGAAAGAAAGAAATTAAAGGGTTAGTTCACCCAAAGAAAGAAAGAAAGAAAGATTAGTGAGAAAGAAAGATTAGTGAGAAAGAAAGAAAGAATGAAAGAAAGATTAGTGAGAAAGAAAGAAAGAAAGAAAGAAAGAAAAGTTAGAAAGAAGAAAGAAGAAAGAAAAGAAAGAAGAAGAAAGAAAGAAAGAAAGAAAGAAAGAAAAAGAAAGAAAGAAAGAAAGAAAGAAAGAAGTGAGAAAGTGAAAGAAAGAAAGAAAGAAAGATTAGTGAGAAAGAAAGATTAGTGAGAAAGAAAGAAAGAAAGAAAGAAAGAAAGAAGAAAGAAAGAAAGAAAGAAAAAAAGAAGATTAGTGAGAAAGAAAGAAAGAATGAAGAAAGAAAGATTAGAAAGAAGAAAGAAAGAAAGAAGAAAGAAAGAAAGAGAGAAAGAAAGAAAAAAAGAAAGATTAGTGAGAAAGAAAGATTAGATGAGAAAGAAAGAAAGAAAGAAAGAAAGAAAGAAAGAAAGAAAGAAAAAAAAGAAAGAAAGAAAGAAAAAAGAAAGAAAGAAAGAAAGAAAGAAAAGTGAGAAAGAGAAAGAAAGAAAGAAAGATTAGTGAGAAAGAAAGAAAGAAAGAAAGAAAGAAAGAAAGAAAGAAAGAAAGAAAGAAAGAAAGAAAGAAAGAAAGAAAGAAAGAAAGAAAGAAAGAAAGAAAGAAAGAAAGAAAGAAAGAAAGAAAGAAAGAAAAGATTAGAAAGATTAGAAAGAAAGAAAGCTACAGGTTGCTTATGTCACTACAAGGGCGCGTCGACGGCTTCTTTCTGCTGGAGAATCAGCAAAGTGGAGAGTTCGATGGAGGAGATTAAAATAATGGACTTTGGGCTATAGATAAAGTCTTTTATATATATATGAAGTCTTTGGGCGCCTCAGATGTAAAGTTATTCGCTGTCAAAGTGCCGCCAAAATGAACGGGGCGAGGCGTGAAGCACCATGATTGGTTTGCAGTGCGCTTCCGCTAAAATACTTGTTTCCTTACTCTAATGTTTGAATACGTTTTTAACTGATGGTTGAAAAAACATTCAATCTTATGATAGTCTTCTTTTCCTCATCGTCGCAATGTCTTCTGGGTGTCTTTGAGGCGGTGGTTGTGGTCTTAGTCTAGTTCAAAACTGAGGACATTTTTGCCATTGCCATAGTACACGGGAGGTAAGGAATCATCATCAATGAGTCTTTGTAAATCCTCATCCAACCGACGACGTGTGGCAATTCTTTTGGCTAATTCCTGTTTCTCTCTAAGCTCTTCCTGTTCCCTTCGAAGATCCCTTGCAGGTTTTTCCTTGATTGGACTCTCGACTCTCTTTTCCTCCACCTTACAGGGTGTCTTTTTAAGCATTTCCTCCTCAAACCACATTTGACGTAGTTTGGCGAACTCGCGTTCTGCGATTTCCTCTAGTTCCTCTTTGGTCCTCATTGCAAACCTCGGGTCCTCCTCCGGGTCCTTCTTTGGGTGCCGCCTCACTTTCCTGCTCTGCAATAGAGATGAGATTTTTAAGTCAGCATCACACAATATAATATTAATATTGATCCATATTAAAATATTTAATGAGACAAAAGTAAAGGGAAAGTACGTTTTTCACTGGAAAGTTCTTTAATTCCTTCTTCATTTCTTCCCAACGAGCATTTCGAGTGTCACGGTCACTGTGAAACAGAGAAAGCAAGCGTAAGATTATCAAGAGCTCACTCAAACCATAAAATTAAAATAGCCACTGATGATCATCACAGTAGCTCTATCGCTTTGAGTCATAAAAACATGTATTTGTAGAACTTACGTCGCATCCAAAGTCTGCCCCTTTTTGGGGGGTGGCACAGGTTGGAAGTCTTTAAAAACTGGGGGTTTTAGGGCAATTAAAGATGAACGATGAGGCCTTTCCTTCGGAGGAATATCATCACTAAATAACTCCAAATTACGCTGAGAAAGAAAAAGAGTTACAAGGTTACAAGAGTGCAGATGCTACACACAAAAGAAACACTTAGTCCACACAATTTACAAGCAGTTATTTCATATTTCAACATTTCATATTCATTTGAATTAAAATGATCAGAATATACAAAATTCACTTACTTCCTTGCGCCTTTTTTGTTCAAGCGCAGCCCTGCGTTGATCAGCCTTGATGCCGTATCGTGGTGGCTCTGGACGCAGGCCTGTATTGGTTTGCAAACCTGTTTGAGATTGCTGGGCAATCTCAGCTCTGGGCTGGGAAGAGCCGGAGATAGCAGGAAGCTTCACAGACTGGCTGACTGGCTTTTCCATCACGATAACTATGTTCTGGCGTGCGAGAGCCTGTTGACGATACAGAAGAATGAGAAAACACTTAAATACAATGCTCAACATATGAACGCAAGCTTAATGTTAATAATGACCGATGATGATGGTTGAAAAAACACATTGAATCATATGATAGCCTACTTACCCTCGTCGTAATGTAGCGTCGTTCAGGCGGATGTGGACTCAGATTCAGTCTAGGGAAGACTAAACCACGATTAGGTTTTTCAAAATCGAGACGTTCCGCTTCCAGTGACCTGATCGGGCGAAATCGTGTGATGGAATACATTCTGATGTAAAGTAGTACGTTGATCGAAAATCCTACTGGTCAAAATGTATTCTGAAACCATACACAGCTGTAATGTGCAATTCAACTGTCCTTAAAAAACAGACCCAAATGGATATTAAATTGCACAATGAACAAAAAGCATACACTGAATGAAAATGCAGCTAATCAAAATAAAATCCTGATGGGGAATCGTACACTGATTCAAAATTGCACACTGAAGCTGTAGACTGAAGGCAACAAGTCAGGAGTTCAGTGAGAAAAAGCTCCAGTATACTGTGACGTGCAAATAGAATGCATTCCGATGACGTCAAGCAGCAGCGCGTTAGAGCCGCAGAAAAATGAAAGATTATTGTTTTGATTTAAACATTGGAAAGAGAGAATGGCTTGGGGAGGGGGGGGGGGGAGCATTTAATTTTCATAGGGGGGCACACTTTTTTAAATGATTTGAGACCGACCAAAACAACAACCCGTTTTAGGCTATAACTAAAATACACCACAATAGTCTTGTTTTGATCATTTTATTCGAATAAAATACTTTGACGTATGATCTCAGCGTCTCTATTTATTTTCTCTTAACGTTTCCACTAGTAGCCTACATTGTTAATCGGCATAGTTCGTCACATACATAACACAGTGCAATCTAGTGGCTTTCATGAGTAACAGATCAACAATCAACGTAATGGACGGTTTATCATTACAAGACCAACCTAAAACTACGCCAAAATGTATAACTTGACAATACAATAATAAAACAATAACAATAATAAAAGCAATGCATAATATACTGCAACAAAAAGTTATCAATCTAGCAATCTAGCAGATAAAATCTCTATTCCTAGCACCTCATTAGCTCCAGAGTCGTCTCCGCACCCGTTGTTGTTGTTGGTCAAAGTTGTCTTTGTCCACGACGAATCTTTAAACCACGTCTTGTATCCATAGCTAAACTTAGCTGTAGGCCGACCAAATCGCCAGAATTAGATTCTGAGATCGCATGCAAATTTGCGCAGCTGCGCAAAGGAATTACGTATAAACAAAACTGTATACTTAATCAAATAATTTTGTCTTTTATTGTTTTATGATATATATATATTATCACACCAACTGCATATTGTAATTTGAATAAAACAAAAGTCTAACACAAAAAATGTTCATATTCAATAGGTCTGTGCAGGATGACTTTCTATTGGGTTGTTTTGCAATAATGACTGCTGTAGGTCTTGGCAAGGATTTGGATGCTGTTTTGGGATGGATAACAGTCATTTTTGAAATATGCTTATTTTAATTCGTTCTGTATAATATGCGTGCAAAGTTTACATTTTATAAGCTCAATGCATGCCTTGCATTGTTTTTTGACAGGGTCGGCGCTAGCTTAGCTTAGCACAGCATGAATGGAATCCTTTGTTGCCAGCTAGCATAGCAGCTAGCTAGACTTGATGTTCATTTTAGGGAGAACTATCCTTTAACTGCAGTTTGTCTGTGGCCAGTGAGGATCCCAGGCAATTAAAGGTAAGCACTGTTTTATAACTTTTGCCAGATTTAGCCTCCAAATTTAAAGGGTAACTTAATTTTTTGTGTGTGTGTGTGTGTGTGTGTTTTTCTTATTTATTTTAAGACATTTGGGTATGTTTATGGTGGTCGACAGATAATGATTTTATAACTTCTATTGCGCTCTAGCTTACGATTTCGCATATGAACACAACTGCCCTGAAATGATAGACAGACAGGAAGCCTGTTTTAATTTTATTGTATTTTGTGGCGGAAACCAGCTTCCATACTAACCCGTTTAATCCCACGGTCACAATTGTGACCGCAGCTTTTTTCTTATTTCTGGAAGCTCTAAAAACTTTGGGCAAGAAATTCAACTTTTAAATGACAAAATAGATTGTCTTGATTTAAATCAATTAATGTCATGTGACTAGTGTGAAAGGTCACATGACCAGATCAGTTCACTTCCTGCTTGCACATCTAGAAGAAGATTTCTTACTCAGACTACTAAAATAAGTAGTATAAAAAACATCCTAATTTACAGATAGAACTATCAAATTTTGTACATATATTCTTTAAAGGGTCTACTACTGATATATTTTGAGAATAATACTCCTGCATTTATATTTTGCTCGAAAGACTTGTAAATTTGTTTACGGTCACAATTGTGACCGGTAGTATAACAGTGCTTCAATTGAAAACACAGGTATTGGCAGATATTGGTGGGCATTGGCAATCCTACACTGAATATGCCACATCTGTGAGGAGGATGGAGGATCTTGGCAAAGGAGAAGTGCTCACTAACACAGATTTAGATAGATTTGTGAACAATATTTGAGAGAAATAGGCCTTTTGTGTACATAAAAATGGTCTAGATCTTTGAGTTCAGCTCATGACAAATGGGGGCAAAAACCAAAGTGTTGCATTTATAATTTTGTTTGGTGCAGTTATCAGTATCCCAGAAACGTTCAATGTGTTGGACCTTCTTGACGTGCAGGGCTCAAGTGTAGACATGGTCTAGCCCATAGGGGTCTAGCCGAACAAGCAGAAGTTCCTCCAGGGTGTAACTTTGTACATGACAACCTTTTCACCTCACTAATAAGCCTTCTTCACGAAATGACAAAACGAGATATTGGATGTCTTGTAATGAATTGTGTCAATAGGCTTTATGCGGAGTGGCACGTGACCAAACCGGAAAACAGGTCTCATCGCATCCGCTTGTCATAGAAAGTGTTAACGGACTACTATGGTAATACGATATGGTACAACTACAGTGCAGTGCAAATAGTAAATATAAGATATAGTGAGAAGTAATAGTAAATAGTTTAGTCAATAGCAACAGTATACCCTAGTGAAAAAAAGTATACTTTATTGTATTTGAAATATATTCCCTTTTTCAATAGTACATTGCAAATATACTAACAAAAAATGTACTATATTTAAATACAGTAAAAGTATATTAGCATCATGCTTTTTACCTATTTTCACAATACAATTTTAAACACACTTTAAAATAATTGTACTTAAGTATATTTTCTAAAAGTATATTGAAAACAAGCATGCTTTTAACATATTTCTAAAAAGTGCAGTATAAGTACATTGGTTCCAAATATATGCTTTGTTACACTTTTAAGAAATATGCTCAACACAAGTATACTTTTAACATATTTCTAACAAATGCACTAGAAGTACTTTGGTAATAAATACATGCTTAATTATATTTTTAAGAAATATGCTAAACACAAGCATAATTTTAGTGAAGTTTTAGTGCATTTAAAGAAAACATACTTATGTTGCTCTTACTTAAAAATACATTTTTGGAGTACTTTGTGTAAGAACATAGCAAAATTATTAAGCTTTTAGTGGGTTTAAAATATATGAACTTTATAAACATGTATGCTTACTGCAATATATTTAAAAAATGTATGCATTTATCATTTTAATATTTAAATATACTTTGTATATATATATATATATATATATATACAATGTACCAACTTGTAATGTATTAGAAACCAGTGGTGGAATGTAACGAAGTACAAATCTTTGTTACTTTACTTAAGTACATTTTTCACATATCTTTACTTTACTTAAGTAGAATAAATAGTGCATACTTATACGCGAAAATTTGTTTTTATGTGCATAGGAAATGCACTGTGTGTAATATACGTATATATATATATATATATATATATATATATATATATATAAATTATTAAAGACTATTAAAAATTCAACATTTTTCTCCAAAATGTTTTTTTTTACATAATTATTACTCAAATATGGATACAGAAAAAGCATTTGGTTGCCTTTTGCAGAATAAATATTGCACCCAGGGTTATACTTCAAAACAAATGAGTGTTTACATATTATGAATAGAGACGTGGAAAATGGTCAAGTACTGTCTCTCTTCTTTTAAAAACTCTGCATCACAAATTAATCAGCAATTGGCTTTACATTGCCAAAGTTGAATCGGGCAGTGATTGACAGGGCTCTGGTCCAATGGCATCGGTCATTGTCTGATACAGTACATTTTGTACTGTAGGCTACAGTACAGATACTGTACAGTACTCTAGCACAATGTTGTTTGGGGTGGCAGAGGGGAAATATGATCTAATTGAAGCAAATATGATCTAATCGAAGACTGTAACCGTATGTAACGTTAGATAAACAAGACATGTAATTATTGGGCTAACTTACCAATTAAATCAAGACAACACTGCTGTATAATGTTAGGGGCTCTCACTGAGCTCTAATATGCCTCTCCACCTGAAAAAGCAAGAACTGTATTATAATTAGTATTAGTTTAGCCTATGCTATCCAGTATTCTGATATCGACGATGACAAATTATATCATTTGTCTGTACTATTCCTTCTTTAAGAAATCATATCAACAATATAGTGTAGCAGTAAATAAATATATAAACTTAATATCACCTAAATGAAATAGAAAGCTACGCTTACAGACCCTCACATCCACACGTGTAAACACAACACTCACTGACGTCTTCACTTCCAGGTCAAGAAGCTGTCAATCAAAAACTCAGTAGCCAATGAGAATACACTGCTACTAGCCCCGCTCCCACGAGAGATTTGTGTCAGAACAGCGAACGCAAACTCAGGGAGTGTAAACGAAAACATCAGAAGCGTAAATGAAAACTCTGGAAGCTCATTTGTAAGTGTAGATCAGTAAACGAAATATAAGGAATAGTTAGCAAAACATGTAGTGTATTAAAAACAAACTCAAAAAAATTGCTTGCGGTTCATTCTTTTTCAGTTTCAAAGATATTTTATTCAGTTTCAATTTATATTTTCATTCGTTTCTTGAAAAGTTACGTTCATTTTTATTCATCAGTTAATAACGTATTCGGTTACAAACATTACCTGAGAGTAAGGAAACAGCGGAAGCGCACTGCAAACTAATCATGGTGCTTCACGCCTCGCCCCATTCATTTTGGCAGCACTTTGACAGCGAGTAACTTTACATCTGAGGCGCCCAAAGACTTCATTTTGACCATTATTTAATCTCCTCCATCGAACTCTCCACTTCGCTGATTCTCCAGCAGAAAGAAGCCGTCGACGCGCCCTTGTAGTGACATGAGCAACCTGTAGCTTTTAGACAGAAAAGGAAGAAAGAAATTAAAGAGTTAGTTCACCAAAGAAAGAAAGAAAGAAAGAAAGAAAGAAAGAAAGAAAGAAAGAAAGAAAGAAAAGTTAGAAAGAAAGATTAGTGAGAAAGAAAGATTAGTGAGAAAGAAAGATTAGTGAGAAAGAAAGAAAGAATGAAAGAAAGAAAGATTAGTGAGAAAGAAAGAAAGATTAGTGAGAAAGAAAGAAAGAAAAAAAGAAAGATTAGTG